AGGACCGATGAGAGAGGACTAAAGCACTGAAATTTTAACTTTCAGTCTGTCCTGGGCCAGGAAGCAAGTAGGAGTTAATATCAACTGACAGTGATGAAAGGCCTTTGTGAAGTGAGCAGTTCTCTGCCCCAGTTTTGGGATGAGTTTTGAATCTCACTCACTTCACAAGCTCTGCAACAGTCTCAGGACACATCAGATTAAATTGCATCAGCTAAATTGCTGCCGATTTATAGCGGAAGGGGTGGGGAAGCAGAGCATGAAACTGGCTACAAATCAATGCAAGAAAAGGGTGTGGGACACAGTGCACTCAGCTGCCTGGAGCAGGCTCCCAGCTGCAGCAAAGAGCCTGACTCTGTGTAGTTACCGCTCTAAGTCTGAATCAAGCAGGAAAACTAGTAAGCAGGATGGCCCATTTCATTCTGCTGCGGAAGTCTTTATTCTTCCTTTCTCCCCTGCTCCTGATGACTGGACAGGGCTAGCCTCAAAGTGCTTGGCTGGGATGGGGAGCAGCCACAAAACACACTCACCTTTAGAAACCCACCTTGCAAACCAAGTTCACATGATAGCACCTAAGGCTGTGGTGGTACTAGCAGACCTCATGACCACAAATGTACTTATTACATAGAGCATCAGAAACAGCTTGGTCCTTAGTCCATTGCAAGACAATCTGGGTTATTTTAAATACACTTTGGGGGATTTTTCTAAGCGAAGGAAGACAAAGTTTTGGAATACACCCGACCTCCTAGCTGGTAGACTGACTTCCTGGCTCGACCTCAGACCTCCCTTGTCACTATGGACTTGCCCAGTGATCTCTGGACTGTTTGACCACTGTTACTATCACAGGACCTGATCCTGACCCTGACCTGCAGATTGACTTCCTGGCTTGACCTCAGACCTACCTCATCCTTGCAGACTTGCCAGGTGATCTGGACTCTTGGTTAAACCTGCTACTGTCTCTGATCTGCCCTATTCATCTCACCCAGGTACTGTGGGATAGGGCCCTGGCTGGTGAGGCCCCTACCCTGCCAGGCATGGTATGGCACTCAGCCATCTTAAGCCTTGAGCTGAACACCACAATGCCTGGCCCATGGGTTTTGCAGGGCCTTGCCCATGTGACTCTTCCTATGTGACCAGCCTGGGCCTGAGCTCTTGTCTTCCCTCCATGTTGACATGCTGCCCAACTCCAGGCTCTTGAGTGAGCCCCCTTCCCAGTGCTGTCCAAACTCTAGGGACTGTTGCAGACAGCTGGAGCCCTTCCTCCCCACTGACCCCAAGCCTGCCTGGTCCCTTGCACTCCCCAGGGCATGGCTTAAACATTTTCCCCCTCCCATCACCCCCCAAAGCCCACCTGGCCACTGGGGCCCCTCATGGGCAGCCCCTACCCAGCTCCAGGTCTCTCGTGCAATGTCCCTTTCCCCATTCCCTACTCCTGCCCTGGCTCTGCGTCCCCTTAAATAGCCCACCGACAACCCACAACCATGAAATCACTCTACAGCAAGTCCCCTCTGAATCCAGATCTCTGTAAGGTGTGAGGACACACCTTGCTGGGAGGGGAGATCTGCTGTCAGGGTCCTGAGGGCACTCACAGGCCTTAATGGCCCTGACCAGCCTCACCTGGGGCCGTCACCCGCACCTAGGGGCTCCATTTCAGTCTGGCACCCTCAGTCCCTGGTTGAGCTATGCTGTAGGTGTGCCTGCCTCCAGCAGGGCCACAGCCATGCCTGTGCCTGTCTAAGGACCCTGCTGATCCAGACCCTAACCCCACAGACTGACTTGGCAGCTTGACCAGCCCTGTCTCATCACTATAGGCCTGCCCAGCAGTCGCTGGGCTGTCTGACTCTGGTCTGCAAACTGAATTCTTATCATTATGATCTTGTCTGATGAGCTGTACTCTTGGTTGCATCTGGCTACCATCTCTGGACCTGCCCTGTTTCCTCGTCTCGCTTAGGTACTGTGGGGCTGGGCCCTGGCTAGTGAGGCTCCTGCCCTGCTGGCCATGTTACAGCACTCTGCTCCTCATCCCTTAGGGAGCAGCTGGCCCTCATTGCTCGCTGACAGTCTGATCCTTAAGACGTTTCCAGATTTTGACTTTTTGCTCTGATTCAAAATGAAAACACACTGCCAAATGTTGGAATTACCCCTGGGTTGGGAATCCTGAAAAGTCTGCTTTTACTCTACGTGAAAGAGTAGCTGAATCTTATTTGCGTAGCTTATACTCTAGAGAAGATCATCTTGTAACACCTAGTGCTCCAGTGACTGGGGGGGGGGGGGGTTGAAGGTTTTTTGGAGGGCAAGTGCACAGAGGTAATATACCGCCAGTTTCTCTTGCTGTCTATTGTGAAGCCCAGCCTTCTTGATGCCAAAATCTGCTATAGGCTTTTTCCTAGCCTTCTGAAGAGAAGACTGAGAGGTGATCTGATCAACGTGTACAAGTATCTGAAAGGGGAGTGTCAAGAGGATGAGGCCAGCCTCTTCTCCGTGGTGCCCAGCGACAGGACAAGAGGCAATGGGCACAAACTGAACCACAGGAAGTTCCACCTAAACCTGAGAAAAAACTTCTTGACTGTGAGGGTGACAGAGCACTGGAACAGGTTGCCCAGAGAGGTAGTGGAGTCTCCCTTGCTGGAGATATTCAAAACCCGTCTGGATGTGACCCTGGGCAATATGCTCTAGAGGAGCCTGCTTGAGCAGGGAGGTTGGACTAGATGATCTCCAGAGGTCCCTTCCAACCTCAACCATTCTGTGATTCTATGATTCTGTCAAAGCTCATCCTCTCCCCTCTCTCAGGTAGAACCATCATGCCCTCCTCTAAGGGCATAAGTCAAAAAGATAGTCTTGAGAGCAGGTTAGACCCCCACAGACTCATAGAGCAGGTAGACTGACCACTTAGACTCAAATACCGTCAGAACCCCAGGCTTAGGGTGCTCGGGAGGCACAAAGACACTGGGCCTTGATCCAAGAGCAGATGCCCCGATTTTGGCAGCTAGGGGAGTACTAAACTGAGCTGTTAGTGAAAACGTAGTACAGCCACTCATTGCTGCTGGAGCTGAATTAATCGTACATCCATATGCTCATGAATGCCATGGCTTGGATATGTATCCAGTTAGGGTTAAAGAAAGGCAACAGGTGTTAAAACTTTGAAAACAGTACTTTTCACTAAAAGGTCACAGTAGGAAATTGCTTCCTGCTTGCATTCAGGTGATCTGGCTGACCTTGCAGCAGCGGGCTGGGCACACAAGAAGACCATCTATGTTGGCAATAGCTCCATCTTGGAGAAACTTCTCTTTGCTTTGAGGCTTATGTGAAACATACCATAAGGATGAGGGAAGTTGAAATACCTTAGAGCCTCCTGAAAGACAGGCTGTGATCTGTATCCTTCCATTTCCATACATTTGCCTTCTCATCACAAATGACAACTATAACTTAAGGAGGCTTTTAAAAATCATATTTTTAGTCTCAAGATACTTGTTTTCTCAGCCTCCAAATCCCAAACCCTGAAGGAGAGGTAGTTTTATGATTTCTGTATTATTAATATACAGAAAGATATTTTTTCCACAGTATCTTCAGGTGATTGAACAAACCTCAAGGGAGACAACTGCACCTCTAGCATGTAACTGAGATAATGATTTCTGTCCTTGGCACTTTGTAACTTGGCTGGATGACTTTTCTCTGGAGTGAATTATATCATTCATTGCACTGTTCTCTAAGTTGATTGCTTTTTTTTTTAAGCAATTGTTTTTCTTATATACATAGCACTTAGACTCTGAGGAAATGAGATTCTTTCCCCAAGGATACCATAATAGCTACATTACCAAGATCATTAGCAAGCACTGAAATCTAACTAAAGCTTAGCAGCTCTTAATAGGCAATGATTTTTTATACATTGCTCTTTAACTGAACCACAAATATTGATCTAACCAATTCTGCTTGTCACCAGCATCACACAGGTTTTTTGAGCTGGTCTTAAAGTACATATTCCTCCTCCCATAAACCTAGTACCCAGGTCTTAGCAGGGATACATCCTTTGATCCAACAGAGCTACAATGATCTCTCCGTGGTCTCTCACATCAAGTTTGACGTAACGTTCCTGCTGTATATTCCTGATACTCTGACACATGGGAACAGGGCCTAATTGATGTGAAAGGAAGGTACGTTTGGGACTAGATGGAGTTGCGTTACAGAGCAGCATAGCGACCAGTTCTGATGTTCACACCATGCTTCCTGCACAGAAACAAGCGTGCCACGTGCTGTTAGGGAGCACCCTCTACTGGGGGCAGCTTTGAAAGCTACTCTCCCCATTGGTGGAAAAACCTGTCTACTGTGGAACACCTGCTGAAAGAGTAGACCAGAGGAGCTGGCTAAACACAGAGATGAGCACTGCAAAGAGAACCACTGCAGCACTCCAAATCACCTCCTAAATTCACAGACAATAAAACATAAATGTCCCAGTGGATTTGACTTGCATTCTTAAAATGGGAGTCAGGGTCTCTGATTATATCACGGATCCTTTCAAGTACTGGGGAAAGCTTGAGAACAGGCATGGCAAATCTCTGCTAAACTGCTGCAATTCATGTGAATTTCCAAGAAGTCTATATATGTCTGTAGCTAACATAACACAACTTTTGCTCTGATTAGCTAAATGATTTTGCTCTGATTATGCACCAGTATGTGCGACTTTGCCCTGCTGGTCTTCTCTACTCTGGCCACAACAAAGTTGTGTGCAGGACAATAGCTTCCTTCCATTGCCAGAGTGTCTCCAACTTCACAGGCTTCATGCCTGAAATGTTTCGCAGGATTTTTCTTTTTGTCCTTAGAAGAAAGCTAATTCATTGTAATTGCATTGGAATATGGGGAAGTTATCTGATGTTTCAATAAAAATAAAGCAGCTTTAAAATGCTATCCTGAATATAAAAATCACACTGACAGACAAAAATCAATCAATATTGCAATTAAAATATAGTCTTAATGGAATTTAAATACATAAGTGTTATTGTATACAGCAATTTTTAATTATTAAACAAAATAATCTTAGGTCATCACCCCTACTATATTAACAATGGGATGCGATTATTTTTTTCATACCTCAACAATGTTTGTTATTTCAAACTAAAATATATGTAACAATTAAGGCTATCCAGTTAAAAGTTAAATATTTCTATTTTATAACTATGCCTTAAGGAAATAAATGTCATTAAAATTATGCCAAGTACTTCAGATTATGTTCTTCCTTTTAGAAGAACAAGAAAGCAAAAACTACATTGATATTTTGACTAATAGCTCAGTGATTTTGTTACATAAAAATCTTTAAGTGCTGATTAACTGGAAGTGGCCAATGAAATTTTGATCTCACTGAGGCCAAGGAAACATTGCTATTGACTTCAGCAGAGCCCAAAAGGATTTGCAGTTGGAGGGCTCCCTTGTTGCTGAATGCTGAATGCTACAACAATTCCTGTGAGCCCACAAAGCAGGCTAATGAACAATGCTGGCTCTCAGGACCACAGATGTCCAATTTAGCCTGCTCCCTTCTTTACACCAGAGTGTGAGTGCAGGCACATTGGATGGATTGGCCTCATTAATAAAACATGGCAACAGAACATTGTTAAAAAATCCCTGATTCCTCCCCAGTTTCAGTTCAGGACCCTGCACAAATCTTTTTTCCCAGCGTGTAAAATGAGATTTTTGGCCTGTAAGGTGATAGAGGGCAGAGCTGGCATCATGGGTTGTGCACCAGCTGAGGGACCCACTGCGGCCTCAGAGCATGGTACTGTGCTACATGATGCATGTTCAGGCCTTAATGCAGCATCACAGACTCTTTCTGTGAAGAGAGACAGAGAGAGACAGAGAGAGACAGAGAGAGACAGAGAGAGACAGAGAGAGACAGAGAGAGACAGAGAGAGACAGAGAGAGACAGAGAGAGACAGAGAGAGACAGAGAGAGACAGAGAGAGACACACTGTGGCACATAAAAGAGCATGGGATGAGGTACAACGTGGGAAAGACCCATGGAATTCAACAGGTCTGATCAGTTGTTCAGCAAGTAAATGCAGCAGGGACTATACGTTCTCTCTTCCCACCAAAGAGAATAAGCTATGCTGAAGGCTTATTGCTCAAGGGCAAAGGGGGACAGAAGCTCTAAAATCAATAAGGTTAATGGTTCCTGCACCTTTTCAGCTTCTGTTTGAAGACAGCGATGGCATAATAGCTTTTAAATTTCACCAGGAAAATGGGGATTGGGATGATAATAGTTAACATGCCAAATACCGCAGCTAAGGCTGCCATCACTTGGCCAACAGTGGTGAGAGGGATGATGTCTCCATAGCCCACTGTAGTGAGTGTGATCAGAGCCCACCAGAAGCAAACAAAAATGTCAGTGAAGTGCAGCTCCCCTGCGTAGGAAGGACTGCTACAAAGCAACTCCCCATAGAAAAAGAGAGAGCCAAAGAAAAGGGTCTCAAAGGCCAAAATCATCAGCAGGATGCAGATCTCTCGGAGGATAGACTTGAGGGTGTAGGATAGAACTCTGAGGATCAGTGGGGTTTCTATCAGCTTGGATATCTTCAGGAGTTTGAGGAGATAGACAATGCGAATAAAGCCCAGCCAAAGCCCCAAACTTGGCGTTCTCTGAATCTGCCCATCCACAAAGAGTTCAATATAAACTGGGAAGAGGGAGAGGAAGTCAACCATGTTCAGGGGATTCTGGAAGAATTTCTTTTTGTCTGGGCAGACACAAAATCTCACAGAGAACTCGAAAGTAAACCAAAGGACACAGAAAAGCTCCAGATGAAGCAAGTAGGCAGCCTGGTGGTAATAGGGTTCATGGTAGTTGTGGGCAACCTCAGAATGGCCAACAAAGGTGAAGTTAGCAGTGAAGAACTCAAATTGTGCCTTGGTCTCCTCACAGAATATGATGACAATTCCAATGATGAACAGCAGAGAAACAAAAGCCAGGCACTGCAGAGGGAGGAAAGGATATACACACCATTAGTGCAACAAATGGGTATGACATTACCTCACTGCCCCACCTCAAGCCCAGGATCCCCTCCACAGGCACAGAATGATCCAAACTAACATTTTTCAAATGCTCTGCTAAGAGTTGTTCTGCACAGACACATATTTTCTCCCTTCTAGGCTTGAAAAAGCATATAGAAGATTGGGGTCAAGGAAAAAAAAAAAAGAACTCCTACATCCAAGTTTGTAGGGAAGGGGAAACATGTCTGACAGCTGGAGTAACATGGACAGACTCACACTAAGGGCCTCTCCAGCACTAAATGTTGACTCCAGAAATGCTGAAACAGCAGAAAACAGCCTCTGCAGTCTCCACCTTGCATATGTTGTTCCACATGCCTGACCTTTCAAAAGAGAGGCTGCACATGCATTTTGTGTAGGGACAAGAAGGGGAGAAAAAAAGATGTGTCTGTTAATGAGAAGACAGAGATTCTGAAATGCACTAAGGAACTAATTAGTTATATTTAGTGCACGAACAAGTACTTAGTCCTAGCAAATGGAGCTGATGAGCCAAAAAAGCAGGTGTTGCCTGGAAAGCAAGTACTGTTTAAAAAAACAGCCCCAAAACGAAGTTGAGAACTGAGAATTTTCCTTCATTCCCACACACTGAAAACCAAGCAGAAATCAAGAATATGCAGATATCGTGCAACTATTAAGTAGCTTAGCCTCCAGCCCAAGAAAAGGGAAAGTAGGGGATATGATAGACAACACAAGCAAAGAAGAAACCTTGAGCTCTATCCTACAGGCTCCCAGTTCCTGGAGATGTCAGACACCTGATTCACCAAACACTAGAGGATGTACCTTTAATTGCTGGTAGTTAGGAAGTCAGTCACTGAGCTCAGTTCTGACTCCTTAAGCTGTGACCCTATGCTTGAATAAATCAGGAATAACTTTAATGAAAACAACATCACTAGACTACTGTCCATCAGAGGAGGGTAATCTATGTGCATGTTATCACATATTTACCCATGTTTTGTTTTCAAAACCATTCACAGATACAATATTTGGACACACAGCTTAAGTACTTTGATGAATAATATCAACCCCCCAGGTTTTTCTTAAGGACACACTCATTTTGGTTGTGGTGGGTAGAGATGGAAGGGAAAGTCAGATTATCCCCCTGCTCTAGCTAGACATCTATTACTGTCTGCCTATGGGAAGAAGTGCTGTCCTGTGAAAGACCTGAGATTTACAGTTTCATGTCACCTCCTACAGCCACAAGAACAGGTTCAGCTGGACATACACTCTCCCCACTCTTTATGCACGTATGTGGCCCAACATGGTGCATTCATCAGGGAGACCACCACAGCTGTGAGATGCAGTCCCACAGCTTCTGAGGGAATGCACACCTGCACCAAAACCTCATGGTGAGTTTTCAGTTGTAAAAACTAGAAGACGCCTTGATGAGTAAGTAATTCATTTCTACTGTCAAAGTATCAGTGAAGGAGAGTCACGGTTCTGAGATATCTATTTTTTCAATCTGGACTCCAAACATGCACACCAAAGCTAAAAACTCTTTAGCATCTTTCATGGACACACTCCAGTAATCCCAAAGGACAAAGGCTGTGTGCATCTCCAGGGATATTACCTTAGCACTGAAAGAGGAAAAGGGTTTTTCAAAGATAGACCAAATCTTTGGCTGCCACCTGGTTCTCCAGCTGAAATCCATTCTTTCCGTCTGCACTACGAGGCACTGGTCATCAGCTTGATCGTTTTCATCCCAAGTGTGAAACTCCTCTGTCTGCACCTCTTTGTTATTCAGCTTCAGCCAGCAGCAGGATGCTAGCTGTGTCTCACTTATTTCCCAGAAGGCCAGCTCTTCTTCTAAGACTGACCTACAGATATCTATGGGGCAGTGCAGACGTTTGGTCCTATAGTAGTTCAATACATAGCTGAAGATCTCAGCACTCCTATCAAAAAAGAACTCCTTAGCGGTGGGATCATAGTCATAGATGCTTGGGGCATGGGGCTCCGTAAGGCTGCACAACTTGGTCCCTGGGAAGGTGCGGAGAGTGCTGCTGTATGTTTCATATCTGATTCCTCCAACATTCAGGATAATTTTTTCCTTGGTGTCTTCCATCTGTGAGCAGGGAGGCACAAGTCCTCATAGGCTTTTGTTTCTCTTCAGTGAAAAAGAGAACACAGATTAAAAGAAGCAAAGCAAGTAAAGTTCTGGAGCAGGAAGGTTTTCAAGGGTATTTCATTTCAGTGCCTTTAAAGCACATTTCATACCTGAAACCTGAATCTCCTATCGGGAAGAAGACCCCTCTGCCCTTCTCCATCCTGTTCAGTGCCTGTTCCTAGGCTCTGCTCCCTTTGTCATATTGTCTGAGCACTTTTCAGGAGTTGCATCAAACAGAATGACAAACATCTGCTGTGCATTGCTCTCCCTCTCAACCTCTTCCCATGGGGAAAGAACATGCAGTCCAGAGTCTGTTTCATTGGGTTTGTTCATATACTGTAAATACCCATTGCAATAAATTCATTTGAGGCAAAAGAAAGGTGCCAGTTCTCATTCTGAGGATATTCACTCCACTGTCTCCCCCCTTCTGTACTCCCTCACCTCCAATTCCTCTCTCCACAAGCACAGTTCCTTGCAGAGAACTTCACGTGCCAAGGGGGTAGAACAGTCAGCAGCAGCTTATTCTCCAAAAGACTTTTTAGATATCATCTCATGTGCTAAGCCTGCCAGAGCAGACTTTGCAAGAAATCCTGCTGCCTGGAGGGAACATTTGGGCTGTCCGAGTTCTGTTTTTCTCCATGAGTCTTCCTTGTACAGAGTCCCATTGAGCCAAACCATATTCCCATGTGCAGGAAGCTGCTTCTTACCTGGAGTCTATCTACAAGATTCCTGAACTAGAGGAAAACACAGAACAACATACTGCCTCCTCCTTCAGGGCTGGCAGACACCTTAGAATAGCAACAAACCCTGCTGCAAAGGCCCCAAGCACTGGAAAGCATGTTCAGCTTCCTTTTTCTTGTAATACATCCCTTGCTTCGCTCTCCAAAATCCGATATACCTAGAAGAAACTGATGCCATGCTTTATGATCATTCTTCCAGGAGGGGAGTGAGACCAAATATCTCTGTAGCCCCAGGAGCATGGAGGATAGGTGCAGAATAGGGCAAGGAATGCTTCAGAAAGGGACTGGTGCTCTCTCTCACCCATACGTATCCATTTCTGAGTATATGTACCCCTTGATTCCCCTTCCTTCCTACACATTTCCATCCAATCCTCTCTTAGCCCCTACATTTCTAGTTCTGACTCTTCTCTTCTTGTTACAGAGCTTTTGCAAATCTGTCTTTCCTTCCTGCCTGGGCTCTCTTACTTGCTGCTCAGCGTGCTGATACCATGCACACAGGACCTCCAGTTGTCACTCTTTACTCCTGCACAATACAGGAGTCACAGGTCACTTCTGCAACAAAACTTTCCATCCAGGATCTGCAAGGAAACAAGCTCTGCCCCAGTGGAGACTCCCGGAAGTGAAGAACTACATACAACACCTCATTCAGCTTCATCAGAAAAGGCTAGAAACTGCAGCTCAGTCATGCAGTCATGGCACAAAAGAATTACTGCCCATCTGCTGTCCTGACTGTCCCAACGCATGTAAGGCCTGATCCAGCTTTCCCTAAAGTCAGTGCTAAACTTCCATTAACCTCAGTAAGAGCAGGATTGGGCTTAAGGACAGCAAGTATGCAGAGAGTGCTTAGCACTTGCTGCACAGGAATACAAACACACGGATTCTAAGCAGGTTAGATTAATTCAGTACTCAGCAAACCTGGAGCTGCATTATTGGCTTCTGCTTCCTAGCTGTAAAAGAGCACAGTGGTTTTTTTTTTTTTTTTTTTTGAGACCCCCCCAGATAAACTTGCTTTTATTTGCTTAGAATGCCGGATGCTTCTCTCTCAAATATACAAATCCTCATGTGAAAAATGAGCCAAAAAGTGGTATTTCATATTCTTACCTTGATGCTACTGCAGCAGCTCCGCAACCAGAGGAAAGGAGGAGAGACTGGGAAGAACAGAGACAAATTCAGTGAAAACAGGATGTTCAGTGGCTAGTTGCCAAAGCTTAAGCCTCGTAGATGCCAGAAAACAAAACCAGCCAATAGCACAGAAAAGATGAAGAGGCCCCTCTCCCTCCTGCTCTGCCCTATCAGCGGCCACTCTCCCTGCTCCAGGGAATAACACACAAACAAGGCAACAACTGCCAGGCCAGATGTGCTCCTGACTACTCTGCCACCTGCTGCTCTTCTAACAACCTCAAAGGGCAATGGTGTTTGGGAACTATGTGGAGTTCAAATGTCCTAGGATAATTAGAGATTAAATTTCTGAGTCACAAAAAGGCAGAGAGAGCATGGTCCTTTTTTGGCTGTGCTTTATTCAAGTTTAAGTTAAAAAGTAACATTGAAAACAACAGAAGAAAACACAGAAACAAACAAAAAAAATAAATTGACCTCCCACCTTCTTGTCACTCTCCCTCATCTTTCAGTTTAAAGGGCTTTCTCTTCATTTCTGGAGGCCCCAAAGCTAATCTTTTGCACCCACAGATTTTAAGTGTGATTTTGTCAGTGATTACTCCAGGAAAGAGGTCAGCATATACTTGTTGATCCCAGTCAAGAAAGATGCGCTGTCACAATGAGCTATGTGTGAAATTGCCTTTCAGCTGACCTTCCAAGGCCGTTTCTAGGTATACCTTCTGCCTACTTCAAATTCTCTGCAAAGAAATAAGTAAAAAAATAAATTTCCTTACTCCCAGACAGAACAAGAATATGCAGGAAGGCTGTGGGGTTTCCTTTTCAGGTATTCAGGTGAAAAGCAGGTCCATATCTCTTTAGAGGAAGCATTATCAGATAGCCCATCCGGCTGGATTACTCATTTTAATTCACTACCTCTATCACCTTAACACATTGAAATCTCTTTTCTTTTTGAAAAGACGTTTTCCACTTGGACCTTTTTAGCTAGATAGCAGTCTGGTTCCTAACTCCCCACTGTCATTTAACCTGCAGGTACAAGCAACCTCACCTACAGTAAGCATCTGGATTTCCAGTGTAGTACAGGGACACCACAGACAGTCCTGGTCTCTTCTCTCAGCCAACACCATAGCAAGGCTGCAGAAACAGGTATGGCAAATTGCTGCCAATCTTGTGGGGGACTTTCGGGGCAACTAGCCATCTTTGCTCACCCACCTCCAACCCTGTATTTAGCAACCTCTTAGTCAGACATCACAAGGAGGGCAAACAGCACAAGCAAAATTCTCCTTTGATCCAGACTGCGAAAGCCTGTGAAGCATGTGAAATTTGTGCTGTTTCAGTCCTTGCTTTCTTACATTTCTTTCTATAACAGACATCAAACTCTTCACATATATCTCTCTCTCTCTCTCTCTCTCTCTCTCTCTCTCTCTCTCAAAAGAATGAGAAATATCCCTTTTAATTTAGTCTCTGCTATGTCTCTGAGGATCTGGAAGCAGGACCAGTTGATTTGACCAAGTTTGATAGATCCCATCTGTTCAACAGCATTGCAGTATGTGCATTTTACAACCTTTGTGTTGCTGTTGATTTCTGAAACCAGAAAGAATCTGGAAAGCAAAATTACACATGGTGTTCCTATGCTCTGAATAAGACCCTTTGATTGCAGTAAACAGCTTGTGCTTTCAGATAATTTTTAAGCAGATGAAAAGTGCAACTCTGTTTCCAAAGAACAGGGTCCTATTCCAAGTTTTTTCCCTGCCTGGTATCTTCTAAGAATTCACTTTCACTGCATGAGACGCTGCAGGAGTCTGGCAACAAATATAAAATCTGCTCCCTCAATCTTGCACCTCTTTTGAGCAACGGAACTCTTGTTTCAGTTTGACCTAAATTTAAGATCAAGAAACAAGGGTTACAGCTGTAATGAATTTTGCTGCATTTTTCAAAGATGATATTTTAACAGAACTCATTCAGCTTTGCTGAAGACACAGGATATTTTCAACTGCTGATGACTAAATCCAGAAGTCTCAGCTAGCTTCTTATTTTTTAGTCTCACAATTTTTATAGCATTTCATTCCTATCTTCTTTTGTTTTTAACAAAATAAACTTTTTGTACAGTGCAGAAGTTCTAGCTTTTTCTCCCATGCACTCATGGTCAGATACACATGCTCTGAACTAGGCACTCAGGCATACCGACGTTAGTCTAAATTTGATGTGGCTTCATTAACTGCATTTTTGCTAGAATAAAAGAGGACGTCTAACTTTCCAAAATAAAAATTTAAGAGAATGTCCATAATAATCTGGTGAGGATGATTAACATTTTGACAAATGAAATTTTGCCTCTGAACATTGAATGAAAAGCTTACAGTCTTCTAGAGTTCAGTCTTGGGGAAAGAGAGAACCAATCTACATGAAAGCCTGCAGCTGCCCATAATGAACCTCAACACTGGAGACAACAGGAGTCTGAAAGATACCACCACCACCTGTCAGAAAAGTCCTTTCTGTATTTGGAACAAGGACACCCATCCAGTTCTTCTGATGTCAGACATCCATGAAGCAAAATGTGAGTTGCAATTGGCTCTCACCATCCTCTTCAAGCTTAATAACAGATATTAAGACTTGAAAGGAACAGCACTACTCAATACTTGCCTAGATGCAGACTGCCCATATGCTGAAGAACAATATCGCTGTATGAACAGTGGAACTTGCACAGCCAATGTTCTTGCTTTTTCATCAGATTAGCAAAAGACTTACAGACCTTCCTAGCCTGCATGCTAGCTGGCTGACTCCTTTAGAGAAAGGCAGACTGTTCTTTTGACTTGTAGGATATTCTTCTGTAAAACAACAAGCCATCCCAAAGTTTGACCTGCATGGTGAAGCAGCTAAGACCACTAATTGAAACAGCTTCAACAAGTTTTGACATAACCTATAACGAGTAGATAATGGCGCGCAGGCCTTTCTCATTTTTTTTCTCTCCATTACTTGGAAAAAAAGTTCAAAGCTACCTGCTCCCCCTCTTGTTTATCCATTAATTTGGAGGTTTTTTGAAGCTCTAACATCAGCCAAAAAAAGTGAGCAAAGCATATGGCCAAATATACCATCTTGAATAAGGAAGAGACTACCCTGTCAACTCCCTCCTTCGTGCTCTGCCTAAATTAGTCTCGGGTTCTCACCTTTGTCAATCCATCCCAAACCTTCACCATGAAGCTGGAGATAAAGAACTTCAAGTAATAGGTTGCAGGAAAGATTACTTCATCCAAACGAACTGTTTCTGAAACATGTCAAATACTCTCCAGTTATTTAACACAACTCACAAGCAATTAAAAATTGCTTCTCAAGGAGAACGAAATGAGGTTTACAAGTTCATGCAATCATTCACACTGGCACTTCATGATGTACCTTATGGAACTATCACAGTCAGACTGTACTTCTGCAAAAGCTGGGCCAAAAAAAAAAAAAAAAAGGCAAATAGAGATTAAAAACTCCTCTGCTATTGATACTGATGTTGCCCGGAACAGATCAACTGCAGGAAGGCCCATATGACCACTTTTAAGCACACAGATACCATGATATTTTCAAAACAGGCCTTGAAGAAAGGAGAACAGAATCAAATGTAATCCCTATCCACGCAAAAAAAATAGGCACCTGAGGCTATCAACTTTTGGAGGTAATAGGCAGACATCAGTTGAAAAGGGGTCAAACCATGAAGTATTTATTTTGATAAAACATCACAGGTATAGCTATTATCAAGATCCCAGCAACATGCACTCTTCAAGCTCACTGGAGTTTATCTAAAGTGATGTTCATTTTCTAGATAAACTGCCTGGGCTGAAACCACTCAAGTGTAAGGAGGACATGAATGAATAAGCTAAAATCAGAATAACACCTTGCATTTCTTTTGTGCCTTCCTTTTCTGAATGTCAGGCAGTTATGCAGAAGAGTCCTCTCATGCATTCCTGGCTGTTCTTCCTCAAATGGAGGACATGTAAGAAGCTGAGGCACTGACTGCAAAATTAATTCACTCTGGGTCATAAAGCATAACATCAGAGCTTCGGTTAAAGAACCAGGGTGAGAGAATTACAGTTCTCCCCTTATTTGGAAAAAATCTGTGCATTCATAGCCCATCTGTACAATGGTGATTCTGACCCCTGGGTGCGCTGGCCAATGAGATGAAACTTAATCTACCACTTTGTTTTCTTAAAAGGGAAACCTCAGAAAAGACTTAAAATACTTACTAATAAGCATTCCTGCAACATCTCTCATCACTATGTCTGGACCTTGAAGATAGCCTAGGGCTTGTGACAGGAACTGGGAGGTATGACTATAGTTATTTTGCAGCTAGGAAAAGAAAAGAAAGATGAAATATGCAATGTGAATGGCATGGTCACTCCATGTCTGAGAGTGTGTGAAACTGAAATGGTACAGTTAAGATTAGGAAATGCATGGAAGATGCCACATTAGCCTCTGTCAGAACTTACCCTCTCATTCCCCAGGATTTAATTTCTATTCAAAAATAAAAGGTCTAAACCCTCAAAGTCTGCAAAGAGGAAGGAACTGCAATTACCTTTACGCTACCAGCTCTTTTATTGTTATATCATACAAGCAAACTACAGTTGCCCTACTGTACTTTCCAAAGACAAATGGCATGGTCTCCATGATGCTGTTCCATACCAGCTTGTGGATCATTGTTTTATGTTATGTCACTTTGGACATAATGGAAGAGAGTTAATTTGCATTTCTGCAGAAACAAAACGTGATGAATAAATTAGGTAATCTCTTTCTTTGATTTCTCAGAGTCTTCCTGTGATCCTCCTTTTCCCAAATAAGAAACATAATCTGGGCAGGAACTTGATAAAGACTTTTAGGAACTCAAGTAAGGTACAATACAAGGTTATTTACAGTGGCCAACATAGAGAAGGCCAAAGCGAGCAGAAGCTAAGGTCAACTTACACTTACTCTATGAGCACTTGCAGACTGACACAAGGACACTGTGTTGTTGGCTCACACTCCAAATATTTGGACTGAATTGGCTCTGGCCCTGCTGGAGTAATCAGCTCTTTGGAAAAAAAACAACCAAGCCTCCTTCAAAGCAGTGCCCTTTCCTTCCACACTATCCTCTAGCGTCTGTCAAAAGTGACTCTGCCAATGGGCTACACCGCAGAGAAGTAAGTACAAGGGAGGTGATTCTCACAGCGTCCCACAGGGAGTCAGAGAACACAATTAAAGCAACTTCAGCATCTACCACTTGCACAGAATCATTATCATCCACAAGATGGAAGAGCAGAGGGACAATGCTGTTGATGACTTCTGTCTGCATGGTCTTTCTTTCTGGATTCTTTATCCCACACATCAGCTATCCAAAAAGAGAAATATTAACTGTGCAAATACTCTCCTCTCCTGGGAATGATACACAGAGAAGACCAAAACCTGTTGAATGCCATATCAGTTCACAGGATAGAATAAATCTGCAGAGTAAGTCCACCATTTATTTGCTGACGCAACTTTACCACAGCTGATCAGAGCCCAGGAACTTCCATAGGCCACCCTCTCAGCACAAGAAGCAAGGATTCTTGTGCTGGGGAATTTCTCCTCAGATTAAATGACAGTAAAAATAGATGCAGTTAAAAGCAGCAGCAGCGAGGGGACAGAGTGGATAAGCCATCCTATTGTATTTCCTGGAAGATGTGTGACAGTGTAAGTAAAGAAGAGGCTCAAAAGAGAGAATTACTTGGGAAACACAGAAAGTAAAGAAGGTACAAGTATTCGCTCTGGATTCCAAGTACTACATCCCCAAAGAATGGGTGAATGTTGACAGGGATGTCAACTGAGATGGGACCAGTGCCCTCCCTGTGCAGGATATGATCTCTGGTATTTTGCACATGGTATCTACAACACTCTCTTCCTCAGATTCGTAGAAGAAATCCATTATTCTGGACAGCTGGGTAGACAGAAGATGCATCCTTATGAATAAAGTAAGCCTCTTGTGAAAAGATGTTACCAGGGAACCCATGCCATTTCTCACTCCCTTCTTGTCCCCACTAGGAGCTTTGAGAGTTGAACACTCATAAACCCTGCCATCAGACCCTGCACTTCTCTTCAGGCTAAGCCACTCCCTGCATCATACCCGAAACCACATGCTCAGTCCTTGGAAACAAGAGTCAGACCATGTCTCACAATTTGCTAAATGTGTCACTAACTAATTTGCCACGCATAAAACAAAGGCGAGACTTGTTTGGGGTCCTCGGCAACTTTCAGTGCATGGAGTAATCTGGACCACTCATCTTTCCTGACTGAAACACCAGGCTCTGCAGAGCCCTCATCCATGCTCTGCTCTTTGAGGTGGGCTCAAGTCCAAAATGATAATTAACTTAGAGATTAGAGGACTGTGACAGCTTTACAAAATGAACAGTAACAGAGATGTTCCTTTTGTGTTAGTTCCCTAGGAAGATAACCTAACCAATTAATTTATGTGCAAAAGATGGGGCACATTAGTGGCTATCTCCTCCCAAGACCCTTGAGTTCCTCCAGGCTGGAAGTAATGCACAGCTAGACCCTGAGCTATCTGGGAAACTGGAAATCACAGCTGATGTTGAGTAAATCAAAGTGGGATCTGCTTATGGAGCACTTTCAGAAAAAAAGAGTCAAATCTCAGAGAAGAGGAGCTGAGAATACCAAGCTGTGGTGGCAAACCACCACCTCTCCTGATTCAGAACAAGTGAATCCAGAAGAATGAGCCACTGAGCTCTCCACTTACAGTTTTTTTCATTCTCTATAGCAAATGCTGCCACTAATTGGCAACAGATCTGCTGAAACGGACACGATGGTTCCCATCCCTCCTCAGCCTACACTGACGGACATACCTAATCTCCATATGTGCCTTTTAACAAGTTATTCTCACCTCAACAAAAAAGATAATTGCAATAATTCTCATCTGTTGATCCTTTTCATTCATGAGGATGACATCTGTTTCTTTGTTAGAAAAGGGTTTTAATTTAGCTCTAGCCCAGCTTAGCACTAGTGCCTAAAGTAGATGAAGCCTGCAGGCCACAGGAGTGAATTGTTAATGAGCTTGAGATATTGCTGAGGATGCGACTGCAAAACCAGCTAGAACTAGCCCTCAAAGATACAGAACAGAGTGGACAGAGGTAACGGTTAACCTTCGGATAAGATACAGAACACAATGGACAGAGGTAACAGTTCACCTTCAGATAAGATGAGGCACTATGAAGCAGGAACATAGCAACCGTCCCGGGATGTAGACGTGAACCAATCAAAAGGAAAGAGACCACCGACTCAGTAAAGACGACTGGAAGATGACTGTCGCTGGCAGGCAGGGAAATAAGGCTGTAAGGAGTATAATTACCCCAAAATTTCTTTGTTCGGGGTCCCTCCCCAGAGGCACCCAGCTCAAGCTGTTATTCTGCTGTACCATCATTTAAATAAATAATTAATTTTGCTGCTAGACGTACGTGAGACTCTGTTCCTCGGAAACCTAGGGTCAAACTGTTTCCCTGACATTCTTTAAAAAGATCGTGTACTCATAACACAAACTATACAATTCACTGCAAACCAAAGCAGAAAGCAGCTGTACTGCAATTAGAATTTTACTGTATTAGCACATGGCACTGCGTTTAAGGAACAGTATATAAGGGGTTCCTTATCTGCTTATTTGGATGGCAGGCATTTAAAGTCATTTTTGTAAGTGCCTACTTTTACATGTTATACAAGCCTGGAGAAGTTAAGGTAATGCTTTCAGGAAGGTACCATCCGAAAGAAAATATTAATAAACAGAAATACCCTTTCCATGATATCACTTATAAAGCATTTTTACTGGAGTAAATTTGGGAACTCTGCTAATAGAAGGACTGGATTTCAGTTGATGTTCTGCTGTGGCTCAGCTCTTCTTTACCCAGTTCTTTTTCCTAAGTTCTTACTTATCCTCTGTAACAGAAATGCAAATACAAGTTTTCTTCTGCTTTGTTATTATTCTCATTCCTTTAGAAATGATTAAACTTAAGTGCCATCAAATATGGTTTGACTCAGATCACACACCAAGCTGCTGGTAGGGCTGAGAAGAGAAACTACACCTCACTCTTAATACTCTACATTTTCTACTGGGCCTATCCTTAGCAATGAGGCCATGTATTGCTGTTTGTTTTTCAGCTGTTGCCCACAGCTTGCATTCTGTCTTTTAGGCAAAGGAGGACACTACTTTAGATGCACAAGATGTAACAACTCCACTCCTGCAGTTATAACATGCTGAGAGCTCTGAGGGTTTTTGTCAAAGAAACAAACCCAGCTTCATCAGGAAAATTCACTGGTCATGAAGTCTAGTCATTCTGCGTTCATTATAATTTGCAGAAATCAGAGTAGCCTCCGTGAGAAAAGCCTCTTACACGGGGACGAGGAGATAAGCTCACAGGAAACGGAGATATTTTCCACTGGTAAATGGAGAGAGGTTTCTGTGTCTTTACATACACTCCTGCTTCACCGCAGCGTAGATACATCGTTTCCACAGCATGGTGCCAAACACTGCAGAACATAATTATTTCTACCACTACATGCCCTGGGTGACTAAACTCCTCCAAGGGCTAATGAAAAAAAAGAGAGAAATGAAGGAAAGAATTATCAGCTTAAGTTCACAGCAAATCTCTCCAAGATAAGATAGCTATACACGCTGGTGCTGCACCACCATTTTTTGGCACTTCTGTTTTTGTTGGCTTTCCTATTCCTTTTTGAGTGACAGGCCCCTGTTCTGGCCTCAGTGTAGCCACCTCCCAGGCAAGTGCAATGATCATAAGAGATCCAGCAGATGAATCATGACACTGCTGCAATACAACCTCGTAGAAAGGACATTCCCTTCTCTTCAGTCCAGCACACCTTTCATTGTCCAACCTTATCTGCTCTCACAGAGCACTGCAGTGTAGGGAGGCATATCCATCAGCTAGGCACTTAGCTGTCAGCATTCTACCTAGCCTTACTTGTTTTTTGCAGACCTAAATCTATCTAATGAAGTCCAATATGCGGGGTTTTGGGCATACCCTTCTATTCTGCCAGACTTCAGATTGCTCACATCAAAACAAAGCTGCTCTAACATGAATTTTAGTTGATGTGCAGTTGTGCTCCCTGCCCTCTCACAACCATGGTCTACTTTTAAGACTAGCCACAGCTCCACAAACTGTAGGGATAACAGAAGAACTCTCATTAAGACAGGAACACACTGAGAAGGGATGTCTAGAATAATATGAATTTTCCTGTCTTCATCTCAACGCAAACTACGCTGACTGTATTCAGGCTGTGCTACTACAGGTTTAAATCTCACATATACTTCTGACTGTACACATCAGCTTGTCTGAGAGTAGAGCCCTCATCCCCATCTCTGCGCACAATTTTCCCATCTGTCCTCCTCTACCCCATCCTGCATACCTCCAGAGTGTTTTGGAGCTCCTTATAACTTGGGCTTTCAAACAGAAAACCTTGTAGCATCTCACTGAGCACCTTCAAAGCCTGAAGGTATTGATTCTGAATCATAGGGAAAACCGGAGGAAGAATTCCATAGCCCAAACCTAGCTGTTACCTAGTCAAACAGATGATTACCTGCGAAGCAAGCAAGGACACTGTCCAAATCTGATAGGAAGCTCTCTGGTTCAGATGATCCCTTTCCTTACTAATCCAGGTGAACTGCTGGCTGGCTGCTCCTTCAGCCATTATAAAATCTCATTAGAAAGCCTCAGTAATAGCTGAAGAGTGTCAGTGCTCCTGAGACTGTTGCTGAGTCATACCCAAGAGGAGAGGAAAGGACTCACTAATTATGTCCAAAAAACTAGCCTCCAGTGGGACAACAATCAACTCCTTCCAGATGCAACAGATCAGCATTTTGGGCCCAGATTCTCCAAAGAGGTCAGGTTCTATTTATCTACAAAATATATTCATATTTCCCAGGCAACCATTAGCAGTATCGACAAAGAACACAGGAGCGCATCATTGCTGCTCAAGGTCTAGACTAAAGTACCACTTCTTTTAGCGCTGAACTCTTTTTAGCTTCTGAACCCTAGTGACTGCAGTCACAAAGATGACTCCCTTTTCCATATGGAGCCAAAGATTTCTGGAATGGAGAAGGGTTTGTTTCAGTGCTTTACATCTCTACAAGGTAACCCCAGAGTGTTCCCAGCATTACCTTGGCAACAAGCGTACCCCAAGCCTGTTCTTGCAATGCAGCTAGTGAGGTCAGAGAGAATACACTCCTGAAAGTAGCACTGAGAAGCTCCGATTTGTCTCTTATGTTGACAATAGCTTTAACTGGCTGAAAAAAAAGAGAGAAGCACACGTTCAGTTTTGCAGAGCTGAGGTGAAGCTAAATTTGTCAGACAACTAGGTTTACTTGGTTAGTCAAACCCAGTAAAAGAGGTACACTTCTGTGAGAGGTACCTGGAAGACATAGGGTCAAAAGCTAAACACTGGAAGAAGAGGGGACAAATGACAGATCTGTGAGAGATGCCATACTTTAGAGCTCCGAGTTAGACCATTACTTCCTGCCATGCTGTTGTGGATACTGAAGCCAACAGCTCCTGGGTGATGATCTCCTATAAATAGCAAAGGAGACCCACATAAACAGTCAGCACTCACTGCAATCCTCACCCTCCCCAGCTCACCACAGCACTCACTGTTCTGACTGGTTCTGCTTCTTTCTCAGAGGCATCTCCTTTAACATTTGTGAGTAGTACTATTTGCTTTCAGGCCCACCACCAATTCTTGCTTCTGCCACAGCATAAACTCCTTTGGATTGTGTCTCTTGGTGACAGCCTTCAGGAGCAGCTCAACAGACTTCAGCAAACTTTGCTTTAATGGTCTAAACCCTCCTCAAAAACAGGAATTTAAAGCCAAACATTAATGCAGAAGGGACTCCCAGCTAAATAGAAAGTTCAGTTATGTCACCTATGTATTTAGGTTTTAGGAATTTTATTAAAATCAGTAGGAGGCAATTAGACTTGTTTGCTTAATTTGGATAGAACTGTACGTGAATAATTTAATCTTAGATATAGAAGACATCTTTTCTTATTAATTAGGGAATAAGGTAATAAACTTTATGATGTGTTACAACTGGAGCACGTTCAAACTAATGAAGTTGTATTGACATTGTTATCTGACAAGATACTTACTGAAGTCAAGCTGTTCTGACCTCACATTTTGATACCTTCTAGTCAGTTCAATAAAGATAGCATTGTAAGGCCTACAGATAGGATGAAGTCAATGCAAAGTAAGCAATTTTTTAACCAATAGAATAAAGAAACCTCAGTTTAATACAGGGTCTGTTACTGAATACATAACCTGGTATATTTAGAGATTAAAATGATTTTTAAAAGACTGTTCTTTGAAGCTGCTTTCCCAAGATAACATTCATCCTAATTCTCCCAACCAGGCTAACTAGACACTGAAAAAAAAATAAGCAGGAACTGTACTGTCATCCATAATCCAAGTTTGCGTTTTATTATTTTAAGCCTTTCTATATAACTGTGTTTCCAGTTTTGTAATGAAAATTTTAACCCATCGTTTTGCAAGAATAAAGTCTGATATTTTCACTGCAAGTTTGCCTAGCATTTAAAGCAAATTCAAGTAACTTGGCAAACATAAGGCATACATTTTTCAACAGTAAGTCTAAATGAAGTGATGTTGCAGACAATTCCTTGGAGGTATCTGCAGCCCAAGAACCATTCAGAATCTTAAGAGCTTTGTATCCTGCCAAAACCATTCTGATTCCATAACATCCACTGCCAAATCAGAAAGCAAGCACTAGCAGATATCTCTCTAAAAGGTGAAAAAACAACAGAAAGATAATCCACAACTCTGAAACATCCCAAGGATAAAATGCACACACAGGGATTTATACTAACAAAGTTTGCAGTTTCATGTATTATAATATATAGAATGTAATTATAAAGTACTCCTCCTTCTAGGGAATATCAGACATAACAAATTAAGTCAAATCCCTCCTTAGAACGTGAATCAAACAAAACCAAGAGCCACTGAAAATTACTGCCCTATCGGAACTCATTGGCAATCGCTTGCTGCCTGCTGATTCAACTACTTATCTAGATATAAAGGCATAACAGTATACCATACCAGAGGGCTCCAATGGAAACACTCAGTCATGCTGGTGGTGATCTTGCCTACTGCAGAAAAGGACACACAGCTGTAACACTGGTGGAGCGTTCAGTTCACCTATCTCAATTTTGAACTCAATATAGAGCACTGAAAGAAAAGACAGAATACACCCCATAACCTTCGTTTTCTGCACAGCAATTCCCAATTTACTCACACAAAGCATTGCCTGATAATTCAGGCAAAAATCAGATACTACAGCAACTGGACATAAGTCACTCTATCACAGGCATTCAGACAGACAGTAATCAGTTGCCAGGTAACAGCATCCCAACCTTGGGACATATTTTGCAATGACATTTTTGAGGTAATGCAAAGACTTCTGGCTCCATTTAATGCTAGAACTTTGTGAACTGAGACTTCTTCATTCAATCCCTCTGGGAGAAAACAGATACTACTTCACTAATAACCCAGCTGAATATGAGGCAATGTCGTAATTTAACAGAGGGACTTTAGAAGGAAAAACGCTCGTCACTCTAGCTGAGGGGCAGTCTAACATTACACTCAATACCTGTTAAAAGTACTGATGGAAGCTGAACTGTGAAATAAAAGAATGAACTGATAAAGTTATAAGCATTTTTTATCTACAACAGAAAAAAATAAGAAACAGTCCTCTATATACAGAACTGTGTTAGTGCATCACTGGTGCTTCCTCTTTTGGTAAGTGCATTTGTAAAACTATTTTTGCGTAAGAAATTTTTGGTATGAATGACAATGCGAAGGGATCTCAAAATGCCTTCACATCAACTGACTAGTTTTATTTTTTAAGCTTGCACTTCTGAAGCTTAACAATTCCACACAGGAACAATAAATAGCCCTAATGAATACAGACAGAGTCAAAACGGAGGACTCTATAGAATTGTAGTGTATGGCAACCCCCACATAAGTGGCTTAGTAGGGGAATCAAACAGACAAAGGATTATGGAATGAGCAGCATCTTTCATGCCAACCGAGTTGCGTACGTCCTTTGTTCTCCCTCACCACCACTCTGATCTACTGCTTGGTTCTCGGCATGGTTCAGTCAAAACAGCTCCTAGCTCAATGCCTAGGTAGAAGCCTTACTTCTCAGGCTCCCTGCAGAACTCACCGAAGCTCAGAGGAAAAAAGCCTTAAAGAAAAGGATTCACACATACCCTTGTTTCTCTTTGGCTTTCTTACTCACACTGAAGTGCTCAGTGTACCACATAGAGCTGGCTGAGTATTTTTAGAATTAGCTTTCCAGGACTTTTTCAACAAACTCATCTTCTTGTTACAGAAGAATAACCAACCTATCAAATTGCCAACCAAACTGGCAGACTACTGGTCAAGTTACAGCAATATTAATGGTACACCACACAACCTGATGGCACATAATATATCGTAAGAAATTTACTCATGTGCAGGTGACTATATCAATACAAATACAGCCAGTGAGCTGCCTAAGGAGTTCAGAATTTCACAATATTTAGGATTTCTATGCCACGGGAAGCTAGAGAAAAATACTTTACATTAAAATTTCTTATTTCTTTCATTTAGAGTCACAAAATCAGTTTTGCATTTGAGTAGTCCCACAACAGCCTGCATTACTTGACTCAGTGTGAGGTAAAAAAGCAGTCGAGCAACTAAAGTGTAATTTAGAACAGATTCACAATAGCTTAATGCAGCACTGCAGCTGAACCAGGCAGTCCCACCTGTTGCACTTGCTTATTCCCTTCCCTGCTAGCCTCTTCTTCCTCCAACCTCTTGTGCTTGTACAAGCAATGTATGTCCCATAGTGAACTACATCAAGGAACTGACCCAAATTAAAGGTTCAAACTAATCAGAACATAAAAGGTGTGTGTGTGTGGGGGGGGGGGCTTTTTAAATTCAGGTCTGTTTTAAAGTAACTTTGAAAAAATAGCATTATAAGTAGAGCCTTGGGAATTTGACCCAAGGCAGCAGTGCAGTCCCTTCTCCCCCAAATGACCTCTTTAGGTGCCAGAGATAGTACCAGAACCTGCAGGCGTAGCTTTTCTACCGGCAAAGCCAGTGTAAACAACTTCTGCAGACATCCAGCTCCAGTGCTTATTTCTAATCCTGCGCTGCAGTTCTGATTCCTCTTATCTGTAACACAGGCATGTTCCTGGGATCATGCAAACTGATCAGTGAAAAGGGGAGTTAAACAAAAACCCTCCTAAAAAAAAATGTATAACCTGAATCATTTTATTGATCCAGTTTATTGCAAAATCCTGCCTAGGTGCAGCATTTTGCAATAAACTGGAGAGAAGAGCAGTTAAGTCTGCTGCAAGAACTGAGACATGCAGCCACAGCTAGGAGGTCAGGAATACACCAGGCATCCACATGATGCAGCCTGCTCGAGCCAGGAGCGCTGTCTCTCCCTCTTCCTTTAGGGCCAGCGCGAGCCCTACCTTCCCACCAGCGCCGAGTCCAGTGGGATCCGGCAGATACAGCACAGAGCCCCACGTTATTCCCTGGCAAGCGTCTGCTTGCCCTCATCCCTGCCGCAGGGGCTGTGCCCAGCACCCCTCCAACTCCGCCATCCGGCCCTGAAATCCTCCTCAGGCCTCTCCCTTCGCCCTGGCCCCAGCCACATCTCGCCGCCCCTCGGCGACACCTG